AAAAAAAATTAGAAGAAAAAAAATGAATATAATGTTGCACTTGTAAAATACTATGTAGCAATGTGCGATTATATGTCCAAACTTTCCACATATTGCACACGACTGTTTTTAACCGATCAATCTATGCAACTTCCTCGTCTTGAACTTGATCGCCTCTTCAATTGTTTGGTCTAGTAGCCACAATAGCAAAAACATTAGTAGTGAGGTTTGAAAATCCTAGTTCAGTTGTTATGTTTTGTTTTCAAACGTAGAAAACTAGACACCAATTGGGTTACATTTATCAAATCCAATGAGGGTTCATATATTTAGATACAAAGGTGAGATTGCGCTTTGCAACTTTAAAGTTGCCACATTCTAACCAATGCTTTCATCTTGATAAGACATTCTTGTATCTCCAATGATTCCTTGCAAGTGTTCAAAAAGTTAGTATTTAACAAAGTTCATTGAGGTGAGACTTGTGACATGGTATTGACATCTCCACCATGGCATTAAAACCCCACCAAGACGTTAATAACTGGTTTACTATTCTCCACGAGCAAGATATGTCTTCTCAGATCTATAATGACAAATTGTTCAGGACACTTATTAAAAAAGTGGCTAAGCATTTATTAAAAAACAAGTCAATAAGCATTTAACATTTAATTTAATATTAAAATTTTACCTAAGTAAAGCATCCAAATCATTGCATTCGAAGCCTATCCATGAGGACCATGATTTTTCCCATTAGGCACTATGAAAAACACCTTTCGATGTTGACTTTCCTGGGATAAAATACTTATTTTCCAACATAAAATTCAAAACAACTAGAACACCAGACAGAATGAACTCTAGATTGCACATATTTGTATCCCTCTAGTTGCTTATCATAAACATTGGCCAAGATAAAAATGAGAAGAGGCAAGAAAGAGACAACCTGATTCTAATTCTCATTCATGAATAAAAGCATAATATATACAGCGAGAATGAGAGAAAGAAAGGGAGGTTACAGAGAGAGAAAAATGGTACAACCAATGATAAGGTAGGGGACAAAATAACAGAAAAGATTCTAACTAAATACATCATCCAACCACGTGATGCATGGCTGCAAGCAAGCCATTTAACCATTATCACCACTTAGTTTTCCCTTGTCGTAACAAGTTTTGAAAACGTGGGGATGAAAAGTTTTCATGAGTATGTCTGCAAGTTGCATTAAAGAAGAAACAAGGAGAAACTTGAGAACTCCAAGATTAACCTTTTCTCTAACAACATGGCAATCTATCTCTATGTGCTTAATTCTCCGTGAAAAACTTGATTACAAGTTGTTTGAATGGCGAAATCGTTATCGCAAATAATAAAGCAGGCTTTTCCTAGGGACTTTGAAATCATCGATCAAATAAGTAAGCCATTGAATCTTGCATGTAGTTTATGCAAGAGCACAGTACTCAACCTCAGATGAACTTCGTGAGACCGTTGCTTGTTTCTTAGATTTCCAAGAGATCAAATAATCACCCAAATACAAGAAAAACCAGTAATGGATCGTCTCGTTTCACAGAACCCTGCCCAATCTGAATCACAAAAGCCTTCTAGTTGCAAAGAACATGAGGATAAAAGGAAAATACCAGCTACAAGGGACTGTTTTAAGTATCTTAAATTACGAAGTGCAACCCTATAATGAAGATCAGTGGGGAGGAAACAAATTGACTTAGATCTTGAACAACATAGGCAATGCCTGGACGAGTAAAAGTAAGATAAATTGTCTTCCAATCAAGCTTCTATAAGGAGAAGGATCTGCAAGGGCAGTGCTTGTGTCTAAAGTCAGTTTGGTCGTGTAATATATTGGAGTGGAAACAAAAGTGCAAGGTAACATTCCAACATCTGCTAACACATTGAGAATGTATTTTTGCTAAGAAAGATGAATACCATCGGGTGAACGAGCTACTTTGAGACCAAGAAAATACTTTAGATTACCAAGATTTTTTCACTTTGAAGGTTTGATTAAGAAGAAAAGTGATGTGGGAAATTTCTGACAAGTTGTTTCTAGAGAGAATAATGTTGTCCATGTAAATGAGGAGGGTTGTGATGGAAGTACCCGTGAACTTCAAAAATAATGAATGATCTACCTAAGAGTGATGATAAACATGAAAGAGAAGGAAGCTAAACAATCTGGCATACCATTGATGGCTTGCTTGCTTAAGTCCGTATAGAGAGCGCTTTAGAAGGCACACTTGGTCATTTTGAGCTGAAAGAGCTTGGGGAACATGCATGTAAACTTCTTCATTGAGTTCCTCATGCAAAAACACATTATTTATGTCGAGTTGCTTAAGATTCCAATTAAAAATAGATGCCAAAGCAAGCAACATCCTCATAGTGGTTATCTTAGCAACAGGAAAAATGTGTCTAGAAAATGAAGACCCTCATGTTGATTGTATCCCTTAGCAACTAAACGTGCCTTGTACCTCTTAATAGTTCCATCAACATTATATTTAACTTTGTAAAACTATCTACATCCAATAACAACCTTATCAGGGGGTAACTTAGTTAAGGTCCAGGTGTTGTTCATCTCAAGGGTCACAAGTTCTTCCTTCATAGCCTTAACCAACATTCAGATTTGGAAGCCTCAGTATATGAGTGTGGTTTAGTGATCACAATGATGGAACAAATAAGATGTCAAAAGGAATGTAAAAGACGATTATAAGAAAGAAAAGAGTGGAGAGGATACCTAACATTTGAAAAAGTTGGCATAGTTGTAGCAATATTGCAATGGAAATCTTTTAAATGGCTTGGTGGCAATGGGGTTCGAGATGATCGTCTTAGATGGATTCGCTGAGGAAGATCACTAATAGGTGGAGACTCATGGATGAGATAGGAATATCTAAAGATTGATTAGAATAGGAATGGGTGTCATGTGACTCAGGGATGTTTGGCCGAGACAAAATAGGTGGAGTGTTGTCAAGACAAGGCTAAGTATGATCAGAAAGGAGCTCTAGTGATTTTAAAGGCTAGAAGACATAGGTTGGTCCTTAAAAGTGGTTTGTTTTGCCGTAGGAATAAAGTATATACATTGATTATGAAAAGAGGTCTTCGCTATAAAATGACTAGTGGACAAAAAAATGTAATCAATTTTTTTTCTCTAGCTTTTCGAATGTAGGGAA